TGTATGCGACTTTTTGGATGTCTTTCTGGAGGATTTGACTGAGTTACCTCCACACTTAGAGGTAGAGTTTGCTATTGATTTAATGCCTGGTACTGTGCCAATCTCTATGGCACCGTATCGTATGGCACCGATTGAATTAGAAGAATTGAATAAACAACTTGATGATTTAAGAGTGAAAGGCTTCATCCAACCGAGTGTGTCATAATGAGGTGCACCGGTCTTGTTCGCTAAGAAGAATGATGGTTCTTTGAGGTTGTGCATTGATTACCAAAAGTTGAATCATGCCACCATTAAGAACAAATATCCTTTGCAAACAATAGATGATTTATTTGATCAGTTGAGAGAAGCCAGTTGTTTTTCGAAGATCAACTTGAGGTCAGGTTATTATCAGTTACAGGTTAGAGAGAAGGATATTCCAAAGACCGCTTTCAGTACGCGGTATGGGCATGATGAGTTTCTTGTCATACGCTTTTGTCTGACTAATGCACCAGCGGCATTCATGGATCAATGAACCGTGTCTTCCACGATTACTTGGATCAGTTTGTGGTAGTTTTCGTGGATGACATTCTTGTGTATTCACGGACTCGAAAAGAGGACGAGGTCCATTTGAGTATAGTGTTGCAGATTCTACGGGAGCACCGTTTGTACCCCAAATATGAAAAGTGTGAGTTTTGGCTACAAGAGGTGAAGTTTTTGGGACATGTTGTCTCGAAATGTGGGGTTTCAGTTGATCCTTCAAAGATTGAGGAAGTTCTGAATTGGGAGCAACCCAAGAATGTTTTTGAGATCCGAAGTTTCCTTGGCCTAACGGGTTATTATCGAAGATTTATGAAGGATTTTTTTCGTTTGGCAGCTCTTATGACCAGATTGACCCAGAAAGGGATCAAGTTTACATGGAATGAGACCTGTGAGTCATCTTTTCAAGAGTTAAAAATAAGGTTGACTACGGCTCCAGTGTTGGTGATACCCAAGCCTGGCTTGGGTTATGTGATCTATTGTGACGCCTCACGTGATGGTTTAGGTTGTGTACTGATGCAGGATGGTAGAGTAGTGGCTTATGGGTCTCGACAGTTGAAGACTCAAGAGTATAACTACCCTACTCATAACTTAAAGCTTGCGGCAGTCGTTTTTGCCTTGAAGTGTTGGAGACACTATTTATATGGTGAGAGATTTGAGATATTCTCAGACCATAAGAGTCTCAAATACCTTTTTTCCCATAAAAGACTTCAACAACAGATAGAGACGATGGGTTGAGTTCTTAGAAGACTACAACTTTGATTTGTAGTATCATTCTGGTAAGGCAAATGTGGTAGCTAATGCTTTAAGCCGGAAATCTCATGGGATTTTGGCTGGGTTAGCCATTCGGAAGTGGAAGATGCTTGAAGATTTGGCAAAAATGGGATTGTATTGCTTTGATGATGATGATAATGGCAGTGAGTAAGCATTCTTGTTTAGTCTCATGGCTCAGCCCACTCTTGTCAAACGGGTGATTGAGTCACAGAGACAGGATTCAGATTTGGATGCCATTTACACTTTTGGAATACCCCTAATTTCAAAAGAATAGTCCTGGTATTTACTTTATTGTTTAAATTGCATTTTTAATTGCTGAAGTGTTTATGTGTTAATTTAATTGATTTAATTGTTGTTTTAATTGACTTTTGTTTTGCTTTAATTGATTATTTGATTAATTGTGTTATTTAGTTGTTTTATTTAATTGTTTATTTCATTGGATTTTATTTTATTTTAATTGGTTATTTGCTTTAGCTAAATGTTATTTGATTAATTATTTTAATTGTACATGGTTATCGTAATTAGATTAGGTTAAATGTGCTATTTATTAAATTAGGTTTTCTTGTGTTTTTATTGTGTTTTTAGAAGTCACGTTTTTAGCCGACAAGGTTTATAAACTAGGTTGTGTTTTATGGACCGAGTTTCAGTTTAGGGTTTATTTGGACTTAGGTTTAAGGGTGGCCTATAAATATATTTAATACGTTCTGCCTAGGGCTTTAGAACCCTATTCACGATAGTGGAGGCATAGAAGGAACAGAGGAGAATAACAGTAGTTCACTGGAGAACTTAGAAGACAACGTTGGGATTTTTGAACCGAAATCTCAAAGGCAAGTTCTAACTTCATCTCTTTCCCTTTTACTCGTGTTCTTTGCATGCCTAAGCAGTTCTAGGAAATCATTAAACGTATTTAAATTGACGTTGCATGTTTGTAATTTATTACATCAGTATGTGCTAAAACGAGTTGTGTATTGCTTGTCTTGTGTTCGAGTGTGTATCTTTCCTTATTTAATTGCTGTTAATCGATGCCTAAAGGAGTTAAATGAGTCTTCTTTGGTTAAGTCTGAACATAATTAAATGCATTAGAGGCTGTAACAGAGAGGAACGAAAACAATGGAGATCACCGGAGACGAAACAAGCAATCAGGAAGAAAGGGGAAAGAAGAGACGGCTCCATGGAATCATGGAGCTGGCTCAAAGAGGGTTGGAGGTAGCTCCAACATGTTTGAAGTCGGCTCCATCATGTTTGGAGGCGGCTCCAACTTGGTTGAAGGTGGCTCCCTTCATGCTCTTTCCAGTTTTTGGTTTTCTGCGTGTGTTTCTGCTACTGTGGTTGGATTTTAAGAATTCCAGATTTATTTAGGAGTTGTTCTGGGGTTGTTCAGTAGTGATTAAACTCATATTAACATCTCAGAAGTTATGGTAACACAGAATAAATCCTAGGAAGTAAATGTAGAACAGAGTAGGAGACTCTTTAGAAAGTTGTTGTATTGGTTAGGATGCAAATGATTCAAGTTGCTCATATTTAATTAGCAATTAACTTAGGGGATTTGAGGTTTAAATCATGTCACAGTGTTATGGAAAAATAAGCATGTCAAGTATGATAACTCTCTGTTATGCATAATGGGACTTTAGTTGTAAAGGTTACAATATTGTATCTTGTCAACTTTCTGGATATCGTGGAATGGTTTTTAATGAGCATGTTAATTTTGATATTTTAGTATTATGCTTGTAGAGGATCACAGGATAGATAATATTTACTCTCTTATTGTAAAATTGTTGGAGAACCCTGTATCTGTAGGACTAAACCATCATGTCATATACACATTTTTATTATACTTGTAATGAATTCTGGTTTTATGTGTTATGGACTAGTTGGTAATTACTTCCATTATTAATGTTATCAACTGTGGGATGGTATGGAATAGTTGGTATTTACTTTCATTATTAATGTTATCAACTACGGGATGGTATAGAATAGTTGGTATTTACTTATACAATTGTATTGTCAACTATGAATGTTGGATTACATGTATCGGTATGGGACGGTGGCATGCCTAGGTTTGGATTAGTTTTAAAATACTAAATCCTACTTACACGGAATAAGGGAATGGATATCAAAATAAATCCTACTTATAATTGAGTCAAAGAAGTTGCATAAGCTGAATGACTACTCGGATTACTTGTGATTTATGTTAAGTCAAAAAAGCTGCATAAGCTGAATGACTAACTGGACTTTCTATGGTTAGGAAAGACTTTAAGTATATATTATGGTACTGCGATCTGAGCTTGAATCTCAGAGTCGTCGGTTAGGGAGCGTATATGCAATAGGATGCATAACTGGATATGTGAGGTTGAGGTATACCCTGTTAGGTCTAGGTACTCATGCCCGCCTTTAGGTGCGTTTTCGCATGTTGCCTTCTATTCAGGTTGAGACCCCCTCCGTAGTCCAGTAAGAGTCCTTAGTATGGTTATACTTATGTATGGACTATTAGCTTTTGTTGAATTGCTTAGGATGTATATGCGTATCGAGTTTCTGCTTGGATTGTAGTAGGTTAGAACTTGTTCGTGGGCCTGACCCACTTCTATATTTCAGGTACTCGTCAGTATCAGACTTAGACCTGATCGTGCTGAGTAGAGACTACTACCCACTGTTTTGACGATGTAGGATTCTCTCCACAACTTATTTCTGGATGTTTCTTTCAGTTGTTTTATTTCAGTTTGGATTATTATTTATTAGGGGTCCACTAGAGATGGATTCCTGAGTTGTAATCATGGAGGTTTTGGAAGTTAGATTTTATTAAGTTATATCAGTTGAGGATTTTATATTAGTATCCTTTTCAGTTTTTAATATTTATTCTTATTTTATTTTGTCATCTGTGTCCGCTTTTAAAATATTAATTATTTGATATTCCCTCGGGTTTGGGCCTGGGCCTGATCAACCCGTGTCTCGGATCCGAGGGGTATCACAACTTTGATCTCTAGTGGCAAGACCATGAAGGATTGGACCTTATATATAGATGGAGGTCTACGGTTCAGGGGTTTGTTAGTTGTTCCCATAGTTTGTTGTGAGGACGTCTTACGGGATTTTCACACTTCCCGCTTTGCAGTTCATCCGGGTGGTACCAAAATGTATCACAATCTGAGACGTCAGTATTGGTGGAATGGAATGAAGAAGGACGTTGCACAGTTTGTGGCTAAGTACCTTACCTGTCAGTAGGTGAAGGCCAAGCACCAGAGACCAGTTGGTTTATTGCAGCCATTGCCGGTAACACAGTGGAAATGGGAGGAGATTACTGTGGATTTTATGATAGGTCTTCCTAGGTCACGGAGGGAAAATGAAGTCGTATGAATCATTATTGATAGATTGACCAAGACGGCTCACTTCTTGCCTATTAAGGCAATAGATGACGCAGAGGCACTTGGTGTACTTTACATAAAAGAGAGTGTAAGATTGAACGGAGTTCCAGTGGCTATTGTTTCAGATAGGGATGCCAAGTTCACCTTGAAGTTCTGGGAAGGACTTCAAGCAACGTTTGGCTCAGCGTTGCACCTTAGTACAACATTTCATCCACAAAAGGAAGGTCAGTCGGAGTATACCATCTAGATCTTGGACGATATGCTTCGGGCCTGTGTATTTGACTTGGGTGGTAGTTGGGAGGATTACCTTCCACTTATTGAGTTTGCCTATAACAACAGTTATCAGGCGAGTATTCAGATGGCTCCATTTGAAGCGTTGTATGACGGACCTTGTGGGTCTCCTATTTGTTGGACTGAGGTGGGCGAGACAGCCGCCTTGGGACCCGACATCGTACTTGAGACTACAGAGAAGATTAAACCGATTAAACAGAGGCTGTTCACGGCTCAAAGCTGATAGAAGAGCTATGCAGATAGGCGAAGACGACCACTATCCTTTAAGGTGGGAGTCCACGTTTTTCTTCGGGTTTCTCTATGGAAAGGGTTGATGCAGTTCGGGAAGAGCGGCAAGTTGTCGCCATGATTCATTGGACCTTTTGAGATTTTGGACCGTGTAGGATAGGTTGCCTACAGATTAGTATTGCCACCACAGATGCACAGTGTCCATAATGTTTTCCATGTATCGATGTTACGGAAGTACGAACCGGATCCATCTCATGTTTTGAGTTGGGTTGAGGTTGACATTGATGAGGATGTTTCCTACGAGGAGGGACCAGTTCAGATCCATGATGCACAGCAGAAGGTGTTGAGAAAAAAGACGATACTGTTGGTAAAGGTTCTTTGAAGGCATCACGGAGTTGAAGAGGCTACTTGGGAGCTCGAACAAGAGGTTTGCTCCAAGTATCCAGAGTTGTTTTCTCCCTCAGGTATGGCTTGATTTTGGGGACGAAATCTTTTAAAGTTAGGGAGAATGTAATAGTTATGATTATATATATATATGTACATATATATTAAAGTTATAAGATAATTTTTTTATTTCAAAAAGTAAGTAGGCCCCACCAATATATTAAAGATCACAAAAGGCCATAAGGCCATTACACAGACTTATTGGTTCTCTCTCTCTGCTGCATCACTCTTCGTCTCGGCAGTTTCCTTTTTTTTTTTTTTTTTTTTTTTTTTTTTTTTTTTTTGTAATTTCAAGGATTGATCTAGCTTTATTCCTTTGGAATTTAGTAGAACTTTGTGAAGCAAAGTCAAAGAGCTCGTCGAGGCCTTCAATTTGATAGGAGCCAAACATCATTTGGCCAAGCCTAGGGATTCCAAAATTAGGGCTTAGATTTGGAGATTTGGGGGGTTTTCACTTTCATTAAGGTAGGGGTGTTCTAATCTACAACTTCTTGGGTCTTTTGTGAATTTTTCCCCTTTAATTTGATTATAAGCATGCTAAATTTTGATTATCTAGCTTGTTGTTGTTGTAGTTATGTGTAATCAAAATGATAAATGTGTTTCATATGTTATTTGAGTTCATATACATGACTATTTTCATTACGGTAAATGAGCATGCTTAGTGTTGATATGTTGTATGTTCTATGATTTTTTTTTTTATTGCTTTAAAAAATTGATGCTATGGTTATTGAAAAAAAAAAAAAATGAATGTTTAGAAATTCCTATTAAATTGTGATGATGATGTAAATGGAATGTGTGAAATCATATGGTTAAATTGATGATTCGAAGTATGAAACATTCATGCATCCATTGGGAAAGAGAAAGGGCGAAAAATATTTGGTAGAACAAACGAAATTGTTTTAGGAAAAATATTTTCTAAAAGTGTTGCGAAAACCGGACGCCTAGAAGGCGCCTAGTGGTCTGTGATGTTGGTGTAGTCTAGAAGGGAATGTAGTTGAGTTTAACTAGGCTAGATGCGACGTCTTGGAGGTGTCTTGTGGTCGTGGATAGTTAACCAACCTTCCTTTTGTGATGCCTTGGAGGTGCCTTAGGTCGGATTACACTAACGATTTGGTTGTTGAAATGGAATTGTTTCGGAAACGAGGAACGACATTTGCATAACATTGCACTTCATGACATTGTGGGAAAATTTGTGATTTGTTGACATTTGCAGATACTTGTTGCTGTGGTTGAGAATATGTATTCCCCATGGTATGACCCCGTTCCTTTTTGCCCATTCTTTGTGTGAAATTCACGGGGACATAAGAAGCGTATCTTAGACACTTCCAACTGAGATGCTCACCCCATTATTTTTAACATTTTTTAGGATACGGAAAAGAGGTGGCGAATATCGATCCACCACAAGTTTAGAGAAGATCTATTTTATTTTGTTATCTTTTGTATTAGAACTCTAATATTTTGTAAATGTAATCTTAACTATTTTGTGAAACTTTAGTTTAACTAGTATAATGTTGTAAGCTATGGACTTTTAAATTTTAGCTACATTTTATGTACTATAACTTGATGTAACTAAAGTGTGTTCCTTATTTGGATGAGGGAGGAAGGGGATTTTTGATATGTATGTAATCATTTTGGAAATGTGATAAAATAATTGTATTGTGCGTTGGGACATGATAGGTTATTTTTAAGGCCCAGTGAGGCCATTGCATCTTTTTTTATATTTCAACAGGTTGTAGAGTGCGGAGGTCATGCCAAAATTTTATATATTTTATTATTATTATTTTGATATCTTTTTGGGTCATTACAACTCTACTACAGTCCAAGTAAAGATCCGATAAACGTATACATCCTAGTCAATCCAATAATAACTAGTAGTCCGTATATATATATATATATATATATATATATATATATATATGTATGTATATATGCACACACACACACATACACACACACACAAAAGGAACCTCACTAGATTATTGGGTTGTCTCAACTTGAATAGTAGGCAACATGTAAAACGCACATATAGTGGGCATGAGTACCTAAACCTACAAGGGCACACAACTACAATATATTTAGCTACACATCCCTGGCAATATACGCACCCTAACCACTGATCCTGAGGCTCAAGCTCATATCATGGCATATAATTATATATATATATATATAATCCCTCATATCCAGTATAAAGTAATCCATAAGGAGGACTTAACATTTTAGTTAATCCATTCCCTTATACAAAATAGGTAGGACTCAACTGATAAGTTAATCCATCCCTAGAATACCACCATCCCATACAGGTGCATTAAACCACACAATCCAACAATTGATGTAACAAATAAAATAATACATCAAATAATTCAAAAATTAACATTGCAATAGAATATCATGTTATCACAAAACAAGAATAACATATAAACTTCTTTAAGCTTCCTACATCATGTATCTTACACAAACTGAATCTAAAATATGCTAATATTTATTTTACAGCCAAGTAAGCATTCTCCAATTTCAATTCATGTTGAGTATTTAATCTCAATTGTTAGAACAATTTAAAAGATTAAATCCATTCATTTGTTTAAAACATTTAAATAGCATGCATCGATATGATCAAGTCTCTTTAAAATTTATTTAAACTCCTACCTAGTCCCTATTTAATGTTCAGGACCCTTCAAAACCAATTAAGATTAATTTAACGTTGTTTACGAAAATTTCCCAAACAATGCTCGAACTTTCCTCCTAATAGCTCGAGCTTCCTAACCATAGCTTGAGTTTTTCTCCTATAGCTCGAGCTTTCGATCCATGGCTAGAGCTTTACATCAATAGCTAGAGTTTTTCTCCTATGGCTCGAGCTTTGCTTCCAAGGCTTGAGCACTGTAACGGCGGATCGAGTATTGTTACGCGATTCAACCCAGAAACCCTACTGTGAATTTATTCTTTCTATTTAAGGATTTTAAGGCATGTTTCTAGGTTCCATCAATACACAAATCAAATCCATAAAGAAACCAGATTAAATCCACAAATTTATCAATTCATACAACAAGAACAAATATGAACCAAATTCATAAAACCTATATTCTAATCCAATTAAACATGCATAATTATTTAGTCTTATGTGTTTAAGAATCTTGGAATCTCCTAGACATGTATAGAAACACAAATCAAAGGGAGAGAGATAGAAGAAGAACTTGCCTTAAACTTTCGAATTGAAAGTTTAACTTCTTCTTCCTTGATCTTCTTCTCTAAAGGTTTTTCTCCTCCTTCCTTCTTCTTCCTCCTTCTCTCTCTAACTCTCTTTCTCTAAAATATATTACGTGATATATTTCTAACCCTATTTTACAACCCTACTCCTTTTCCCAATCAAGTCAACTTAATAAAGAAAATAATAAAATTAAAATATTAAAAAGGTAACTTAAAATATACTACGTATATAATCTATGTATATCCTTATTAAATAAATAAAATATATATATCAGATTATTTATTAATACTACAGTTACCATAAAATTAAAAGGTAACTTAAAACATGATACATATAAAATTTATGTATATCCTTATTATATAAATATATAAAATATATATATCAAATTATTTATTAATACTAAAGTTACCATAATATTAATTAATAAATTACTTTCATTTTATATATATATATATATATATATATACATATACAACTATCCATGGGTAATTATCTATACACATTAAACCTCCTATCCAAGTAGTCCATGGGACCTAATTGGTTGGGCCATTACTACTAACCATAACCATAAAATAAAATAAAATATTTAAACATTTAATCTACAATTAATTATAATTAATCGAATACATCATTTAAGCACACAATCTAATAAACAATTAATACAAATAACATCTAGACAAATAGCCAATTAATCAAGTAACACTTAATTCCATTAAACACATAAGCAATTAGTCAAATAATCAATTAAACAATTAAAAATTAAAACGTATAAATAAATACCGAGACTATCCTTTTAAAATTAGGGGTATTACACCCAGTGTCAAACTTGTGCCTAGCCCACATTTCAACTGGATGCTGAAGTAGCCACATATGTGCTTCTATAGAAATACCCTCAATAATAGACATAGCCTCCCTAAACCCTTTTTCTGTGTATGACCTTGCTACAGCCCAAAATGATCTTCTAAATTTCAAACCAGAAAGCTTGCACTTAAAGTTGTTAAATATGTGCCTACTACATCTCCTGTGAGCTGAAAAAGGAAAATGCTCCTACATTGCTAGTTCGATACCTTACAATGAATTTTTAGTAAACAATTAGCAAAATATTATTGAAATATGTACACAATTTTAGTATGCAGTAAAATGAGATATTTGATGTACTACCTTCTGCCCATCTGTCATGAATGTGAATAGCTGATTGTGGACCCCATTTCCAATGATTGTGTGGAGGTAGTAAAATGTAATACCCCTAATTTCAAAAGGATAGTCCTGGCATTTAATTTATTCTTTTAATTGGTTTTTCAATTATCTAATTGGTTAAGTTGCGTTTTATTTATTTAATGGTGTTTTTGTTTGAATTTAAATTGTGAGTTAATTTTAACTTGTTTGTTTTAATTGTTGCTTTGACTTATTTGACCTACTTGAATTATTTGTATTATATGAATTTCTTATTTGTAGTTGTTTATTTATTTCATTTTGTTTATTTTATGTAATTTAATGTATGAAATTATTTAATTAAAGTTAATTGTTTTCTAACTTCACGTTACAGTTGGGTTGGTTGTAAGCGGCCGACATGTTTTTCACTTAGATATGGGCTGATTAGGTTTCACATTAGGGTTTCAATTTGTATTAGGTTTTGTGTAACCTTATAAATAGATGTAATAAGGTTGTACCTAGGGTTTTAAAAACAAACAAAACCAAAACACGTCTGTGGAAATAGAGAGGAGGAACAGAGGAAGTTGTTAGTAGGAATTGCCGGGAACCTTCGAAGACGGTGTAGAGATTTTGAACAAAAGTCTCAAAGGCAAGTTCTGTCCTAACTCTCTCCCTTAGGCTTCATGTTCTTTGCATACTTAAATAGTTACAAGATGATTGTATGTTTAAAAAAAAAAAAACGTAATCTGTTTGTATGCTTTAATACTTTGTGTCGTAATTCTTATTATTGGTTAATAGTCGAAACTTGGAACTGCTATACATTGTTTTTGGTTTAAATTCATGTTAGTAGGTGTTGTAGGGACCTAAACAAGGATTGAAATATACTGGGATCTAGGTACAGTTTCTAGGAACCTACACAGTGAAGTGCCGAAGGTGTAGACGAAGCCGAAAAGAGAACACGGAGAAGAGGAGGGAGAGAGCCGGCTCCTTTTGGGATTGGAGCCGGCTCCTTTTGGGATTGGAGCCGGCTCCTTTGGACTTGGAGGCGGCTCCAAGTGTTTTTTTGGAGCCTGCTCCATATTTTGTTTTCCAATTTTTACGTTTTCTGTTGGTTTGCAGTGAGACAGCTTCTTGTGTATGGAATTTTTAAGTTTTCTAATAGAAACTAAATACTGTAATGGGTGGTTTAACAGTGGTCTGGAGTGGGGTTAAAGTTCCCAGGGATTGAATAATACAGATTTAAACACCTAGTTCAATCATTAAAACTGTATAGAATTTTTGTGTGCCTTGTAGACTTGTTTGGTTTTGGACAGTGTAGTTCGTAATTGTTTTAGGAGTTTCTGTGAGGGATTCACTGCAAATTTCATATTCAAATAATAGAAATAGATGCTAGGAATCTATATCATCTTAGGCTTAAGTGGTAGTTAAATTCCTAGAATGCAGTGCATTAATCTGTTGAGCAGAAATTTATACGTATGAGTATTTACTAATATTTCTAGTGCATGTTATGGAATTTAATGAGATAAAATCTGTTTAGGCTCTGTTAATTAAGAATACTGGAAGTAAATTTTGTATTTACAAGCACAGCTTCACGGGGTCAAGTATTAGTTCCTGTGATGTGTTCTACGAGATGGTTTCTGTGTAACGGTATTATATAAGCATGTAAATATTATATTTATTATGTTTTCATGCTTATCATGGAATGGTTGAAATTGATATTTATTTTGTCAATGCTCCATCAACTGCTGGATTGATTAAAGCATATTTGATAATGTATTCTAAAATGCTTAGTATGGAATTGTTGATATTGTTATTTAATTGTCAATGCCTTATCAACTGTTGGATGGATGAAATTGTATGCACCGGTATGGGACGGTGTCATACTAGGTTTGGATTAGCTCAAATTGCTAAGTCCTACCTATTTTGGAATAAGGGCACGGGTTATTAAATACAATCTTCTTTATATATATAAGTCGGTACGGTTGAATACGCCGAATGACTTATTGGATTCCTTGTGGATGGTTAGGAACGTAGTTTAGATATATTTTTATGATACCGTGTCATGAGCTTGAGTCTCAGTGTCGACGGTTATGGTGTGTATATGCAATTGGATGTGTAGCTAACTGTGAGGGTTGAGGTATACCCTGTTTAGGTTTAGGAACTCATACCCACTCAGGTGCATATTGTGTGATGCCTTCTATCCAGGTTGAGACCCTCTTCATAGTCTAGCGAGAGTCCAGTAGTGTGGATATATTTATGTATGGAGTATTAGTTATTGTTGAACTATTTAGTATGTACATGCATATCGAGTCTCTGCTTGGATTGTAGTAGGATAGAACTTGTTCGTAGGCCTGACCCACTTCTATTTTTCAGGTGTACGTCAGTTCCAGGCTTGAGCTTGTTCGTGCTAAGCAGAGACAATCTTCCACTCTACCAGCGATGTAGGACTTCTTTCCAGATAATAGATTTGGGTTTTGTCTTCAGCTTTACTTTCATTTCAGTTTGGGATTTTATTAGGGGTCCACTGGAGATGGATTCCCGAGTTGTTTAAATTATGGAGTTTTGGATTATCAAATTTAAGTATTTAATTATTAAAGGATTTTATATTTTAGTTTCTTCCAGCTTTTAAAACTTAATTCTTATTTCTTTTGTAATCTGTGTTTGTTATAACGTATTAATGGTTTGATATCCCTCGAGTTTGGGCCTGGGCCTGATCAACCCGTGTCTCGAATCTGAGGGGTATCACATAAAAGAAGAATGACCAACTATCTTTATTTTCAGCCTCCACAACATCATATGCAATTGAGAACAAACCATAGTTCCCATCCAATGCAGCAGCAGATAAAAGGACACAACCAAATGGACCCTTTAAATGACGTCCATCTAAGCCAATAAATGGCCTACAACCATCTTTAAAGCCAACGTGATTGGCTGCAAATGAAATAAAGAACCTTTTAAAAGATAGATTAGGATTCAGATTATTAATTTCGTACAACTCCACCTTTGCTAAACTACTAGGATTAGTCTTCTTAATTTCAGCTCCATACTTCCACAATTTTCCATAAGATTCTAAATGTGACCCTGCATTCACCTCCAAGGCCTTTCTTTTAGTCCTATACAAACTCATTCTACTTACATCAACCCCATATTTCTCAAGAACCTTAGCATGCAAAACCTCCAATTTTATTTGAGGATCTGCTCTAAATCTTGATCTAAGTTTTTGAGCAATCCAAGTAGAATTGGCTTCCACATTCTTCCTTCCTCTAACAGAAGTGTGATCTGTACCAATATTCTTGATCATATAAGTGACTCCATCTGGTAAGACAGATGCATGGATTCTCCATGAACAAGCCAAACTTCCACAATGGGCACGAATCTTCTTCTTATCATTTTTGTCCCTTACAAACTTAAAACCTTCCTAGATGGCATAATCCTTCATGACAACCCTAAATTTGTTAATGTCATCGAACAATAACCCTTTTTCAAGCACAATTTTTTCCCCCCTCAACTTCCTTATAAATTTTTCCCCTAATGCTTTTTCCCAAATAATCAGTTTCATGATTTGAATCTGATTCATCACTAATAAATAGATGTTGACCACTATTGTCAGACTCATAATTTGATATGTCCACATCACCAGCACCAAAAGGTACATCAATTGAGTTACCATTCATGATTTCCATCCATTCCTAATCATTATCACTCAAATTAATGTTTTCCTTTTCACTATCCCACTCTGCATCAGAATAATTGACACCATCCTCATCAGTAAATACAATACTGTTACTTCCAATAGGGGTAGAATACTGCCAATCCCAACAACTTCCACCTCCAAACTCCCTACCAGAACTAACCAATGGAGAGAGACTAAACAATGGATTAGAACTAACCAATGAACAAGGACGATAAATTGGATCATTAGGACTAACCAATGGATTATCACTCACCACATTCCCTTCTCCAGCTTCCAAATACAAATCTATTTTTTTACTGTTCTTGTACATTTCAAAGCAATTTTTTACTTTTTCATCCCCTATCAATAACATCCTATCACCTGCCCAAGCACTAAACAATATAATTTCATAGTTAAACGTAGTGCTGCAAACACATTGGATATTAACACGTCACATGCATCATATAACATTTCCATGTGATTGTATCCACGCCGGGTAACATTTTTTTATCACTTTTACATTACCAACATGGTGGACCATCAACTGAAATTTCTGTTCAGTACCCATTCGACACGGATACTTCTACAAATATTAAGAATAATGTCAATAGTCTATATTTAATAGAATAGAACTTCACACATATGCATGTCTAAGAAAATCATAATTCAATAAAACATTTAAATTCATTTGAAGAAAAATATATGTAGTAGCTAAAAAAAGAAGACAATAGAGCATTACAAAGAAACAAATCTTTGTCAGCATTTTTATACTGAAAAAATACCAATATTATCTCCATAAAACAATGATTAAAAATAAATAAATAAATAACAATCTACAAGTATGATGACAAGTGGTACAAAAAAAGCCCCTAAAACAGCGATTTATAAACGGTAAACAAAACATTCAAAATATAAACCCCTTTAAATATTAAATGTAAACCCCAATACAGAACAACCATTTTAAAAGATTAACCAAAACCCTAAAATGATCCATCGAAATATGACAAATAAACATAATCGGTCCAAAAATGGGGTAAATATGATTTATTGAAACCATAAATATGAGGAGAATATGATCCATCAAAGAACCCCAACAAACATGTAGTCACTTACCTGAGATTGATGAAAACCTAACTATGATCGAAGAACATATAGATGATTTTTGCACCACTAATTTCTCTATTAAGCCAAAATCAACAAACAAATCAACATGTTGGTTGAGTTTGTATGAACAGAAGAGAAGAACACAGAAACTTGAAGTGAGAGGAAGGCTTATAAAGGCATCACGATATGGCTTCTCTGCCTTTGATAAGACATCAACTTTTTTTTCCCCACCAAAATGAGCTATTGTTTACCGCCAAATTGCGTTGCATATGAGGAGGGATAAAAACATAAGTTACCCTCATTAATTTCCTTCCAGATTTTTCTTTTGAATAATGGTTCAATACCTTAAGGTCATTTATGTAAATTTACTTTCATATTCAAAAGTCAACCAGTCAATTTGGATCTTACTGCTATATTATTCGTACTTTTATTTAAGTGCATAATATGTAAACCACGTGGATGCTAAATGTAATTTGCCCTAATTTATATGTAAAACATAAGAGCAAAGACTGAACCTAGAACGGTAACTATAGTGCACCAAGGCTGTTTTTTAGTTAATCTTAGTAATGATAATTGTAGTGCACCAGTCCTTTCGTGCCTGTTTGGCGTGGGCGTTGGCTTGTGTGGGTAATTCTTAGGTCAAGGGTTCGAGGATTGGTACAAGAGAGAGGAACAAAATGAACATCCAAGAAATTCATTAATAAACCTGACAATTTATAGCTACTAATAGTCTTTAATTCTCATTCAAAAGAGGAAACAGAAAGACAAAACCAATTTCAGTTTCTACCCAGATCAGCCGCTTTTATCTAATTTTAGATTAGTTACATAGTCGGATGAGTAATCTGTGAATAAGAAGAAGAAGAAGAAAGAACAAAGGATGCCAACGTGCTGGCCTTGGTCTAGTTTCGAATCATCAACAACGAATGATGCAACTCATTCTGAACAAACCTTTTCCTGTAAATTATGATCTATTAAGCTCCAAGAAACCCTTCTTCATAGGAGATTCTTCTATGGATACATATGGTTTAGGCTTAATCCATTTGTAACTATAACAAAAACATTATTAAGGCCAAAGTTACTATATTCATTGAGTCCCAACTCTAGTTAAGTAAGAGGTTTGTCAAAAGGTAAGGTCAAGGTGCTCTAAAATATGGATTGGAACAACCTAAAGAGGAAAGCAAAGAATAAAGAAATTAAAAAAAAAATACATATTCCTTTCGAAGAATTGAAGATAAAGCCCCAATAACAAAGTAAAGATATTGGAACAGAAAAGCTCATAAGCCAAAAATCAGAACCGGGTAAAAATATTTTCCCGAGTCAGCAATCATAGGACGCATTGTCTGAAACATGGTCAAAGTGCTTAAAATACATAACAAAATAAACTATGCAAAAGATCCTAGTTTATGGGAAGATAAGGTGTCTACTCCTGATTCTTCTACAAAAATCCTTAGTCATATCTAGTAATAGTCTTTCTTACTTTGTCTTATTTTTACTACTTCGATTATAAGCATTCTTAATGTTCCAAGATTCAACGCCTCAATCTTTTATTGTAGGCAAATTATTCTTACTTGAACCCATGTTATCTTCATATATCACTTAAAACTCGTCTTAGTTCCATATATGCCTTCATGAAAAAGGCTCAGGCTAAAAGGATTTATTGTACATCGGATTACTAAAAAACAAAACAAAAAAACTAATAATTCATGCTCCTTGTTATGCAGCAATAGTATTTGCATTTAACCTAAGAACTATGATCCCCTAACCTCTTTAATAACTTCATGCAGCCATTGCATAGAACATCAACAACTTCTTTTACGTAAGAGAATCTTAAATGAACTCTTTCTAATATGAGAAATTTTTTGATAGTCTTGGACCATAGGTCACTTTGTGGTCCAGTCCAATCAAAATCTATGTTCAGGTTTCTCTATAATATCTTATAAAACTCAGATGGATCTACGTTTCTAAGTCAGAGAGTTTTACTGCACTAGATAACATGGTATAGGACTATCTAACCATTTTTCCTTTGTTAGTTCTTTACTACGTAGGACTTAAGAGTTAGAAGTAATGTAACAGTGAGTTTTTCTTCATCGACTTGACAGAATCTGAAAATGATAAAACACAACATAAGAGAACCCCAAGATTTGTAGTATTACAGTTCGAGTTGTGTTATTTTAGTCACTTATCTAGTACTCCTATTGAGGACAATATAGCAATCAACGTCTTTCTACAAGTTGGCAACGGTTAACTCTTTTGATGCAATGACATAATAAACATGATTAAAGGTAATTGTTTTTTCACCGAATTTAGTGTCGGGTCACGTTGCGACCCATTTACGACCCAATAATCTGTTGGACCCTAATTAGTACTCTCTTGTAACAGAGCCTGACCCAACCGAAAGTGTGCCGACGGGGACGTCGGGCCTCCAAGGGGGTGGATTATGATGACCTTGTGGGCGGGTGTGCCATGGGCTGGTGCGAGAGACACTGTCAGGCTACCACACTGGCGAGCTACGGGTGCACAGTCCCATATTGCCTGGGTAGAGGAAAGGTGAAGTGCTTATATGTAAGTGTGTCATCTCCAATTGGTATGAGGCCTTTTGGGGTGAAGCCTAAGAGCAAAACCAAAGTGGACAATATCATACCATGTGGTGGAGCGGGTCAACATTGACAATCACAGAGATAGAGAGTGAGGAGCTGAAAGTTGCAATCTCCTATTTTTCGCAAAGTGAAAACTTTCGTTGGATCTCCACTGTAGATGTAAGCTTTGCTGAACCATGCTAAATCTTTATATTTTTTGTGTGTGGTGTGATTACTTTTCTTGTCGTGTTTCTTGATTTATTTCTGGGTTCGTTTGTTGTAACAAACTGGTATTAGAGCTTTTGGTTTGAAGCATGGAAGGTGTCCAAGTTTATGGAGATCGAGAATTTTAACGGCAGAAACGATTTCAACCTGTGGCAGGTTAAGATGTAGGCTATGTTGGTTTAACATAGGTTATCTAAAGCGCTAAAAAGGAAGATACACTACCAAAAAATATTAAGGTCAAAGATGAGGTTGTGGAGAAAACACACAGTACGATTCTGTTGTACACGAGTAACGATGTTTTGTGAGAAGTTGCCGAAGAAACTACACCGAATTGGCTATGGAACAAGTTAAAGTCTCGGTATATGATGAAATCTCTTGCGATAAAGAAGCGGTCGTTCACTCTTCAGATGCACGAAGGTTCATCTCTAAAGGACCATATTGATGAGGTAAAAAGTATTATCATGGACTTGAATAATATTGATGTCAAGATAAAGTATGGAAATCAGGTTAAAATTTTGTGTGCGTTCTCTAGCACCCTTGTATGAGAACTTTGTCGCTACGATGATGTATGGTAGAACTGCTTTATCTATGGAAGATGTGAAGGCAACTTTAAATTCCAAAGAGTTACAGAAAAGGGTGTTTAAGGGCAATACAAAAAGTTCGGCAGAGGGATTGTTTGTTAGAAAGCAACGAATCAAAAGGGAGGGTCTAGCAGCAGAGGTCGTTTTAAGTCTAAGAACAAATGAAGTTGTTGAAATGTTACATCTGTCACAAGGAAGGGCACTTCAGGAAAGATTATCCGAAACATAATAAGGGAAAGGAAAAATCCTCTTAAGCTAATAGTCTGGTTGTTGCAAAGGGTAATAATTCAGATGATGGTAGCGTTGTCACGATTTATGTCGACGGCTCTTGCGATGGATGGATTTTTTATTCAAGTTGCTCGTTTCATGCTTGTCCAAACAGTCATTGAGACGTTACATCTGTCACAAGAAAGGGCACTTAAGCAAAGATTGTCTGAAGCGTAAAAAGGGAAAGGGAAAATCCTCTAAACCTGATAATCTGGCTGTTATAGAGGGTAATGATTCAAATGGCTCCA